AGGAGTCGAGATTCCAACCCAAAGCCGCCCTAATGCTCAGCCTGGGCTTTTCGGCTGTGGGGCTCCTGTAAAGGGTAAAGCAGGTCTTTGAAACCAGCAAGGTCCATTTGTCCCTAATCTGTAACAAACACAACTCAACAACATCCACTGCTCCACGCGTGATAAAACACACCCGTAAATACGGCAGCGTCAGACCTCCAGGACTGCATAGATTGAAGAGCAAAACAGATAAATACACAGTTAAGTGTAGGAAGCATGATAAATTCTAGAAAGCAAATGACTCTGTGCCCATATAAAGTATCTATATAACTGTGATAGAACCAGCTTACATTTGGTTAAAATCCTCTGGCCAAAAAAATAAAATAAAATAAAATAAGACTCCTTTTTGGTTACTTGAGAAGGGGTGAGATATATCATATTTAAAAAGGGAACATTACCAGAGATGTAATACATTCACTTCGGCTTCTCTGAAGTATAAATATGGTGTTAGAATCTCTCCTAAGTAGATTTAGATCAAGCAGAGCAAGACAGCAAAATAATCCCTAACATATGCACATAATTTAAAACCAGGGTCAGCAAGCTTTTTCTGTAAAGGGCCAGATAGTAAATATTTTAGGCTCTTGCAGGCCCTACACAGCCAACGACTCGGTGGCAACAAATGAGCGTGGCTATATTCCAATAAAACTTTCTTTATGAGTGCTGAAATTTGAATGAAGTATAATTTTCACAGGTCATAAAATATTATTCTTCTTAATTTTTTCCAACCAGTTGAAAACGGAAAAACCACTCTTGGCTCTCGGGCTGTGGAAACACAAGGCAGCAGACCGAATCTGGCCGGCAGCTAGAGTTTGCCTCACCCTGCTTTCAAAGCTTGCTTCTCAAAGCGTGGCAGACAGGCAGGCAGCATAGAGAGCACCCGGGAGCTTGTTAGAAATACAGGACCTCTGGGGCGCCTGGGTGGCTCAGATGGTTAAACGTCTGCCTTCAGTTCAGGTCATGATCTCAGGGTCCTGGGATGGAGCCCCGCATCGGGCTCCCTGCTCAACGGGGAGTCTGCTTGTCCCCCTCTCCCTCTGCTGCTCCCCCTGTTTGTGCTCTCTTGCTCTGTCAAATAAATAAATGAAATCTTTAAAAAAAAAAAAAAGAAAAGAAAAGAAATACAAAACCTCCTGCCCCACCCCAGATCCACTAAAGGAGAATCTGCATTTTAAGAACACCCCCTCTGTGTCTAATTTGCACAGCCCTGTTTGAGAAGCACTGGTTCAAGGTCTACACGGACTCCAAAGCCAAACTGGCGAATCCCAGTTCTATCATACGACTTCCCCGAGAGCTGACCCTGGGGAAGTTCTAAACTTCCCTATGCCTCAGTTTCCCCATGCACAAGGTGGAGAGGATAGTCTTGTCTCCCTCGGCATGATTGCAAGAATTAGACATACACACATACCCACATACACACAGCTTAAACAGTATTTGTCACTACTATTACAAAATCTCACATTATGTGACAGTTGACCCTTGAACATTTGGGTTTGAACTGCGCAGGTCCACTTAGACATGGATTTTTTCCAATAAATACGGTACAGTACTGTAGATGTATTTTTCTCTTCAGTATGATTTTCTTAATAACATTTTCTTTTCTTTAACTTACCTTATTGTAAGAATACAGTATGTAGTACATAAAACATACAAAGTAGGTGTTAATTGACTGTTCATGTTATCAGTAAGGCTTCTGTCAACAGTAGGCCGTTAGTAGTTAAGTTTTGAGGGAAGGCAAAAGTTACATGTGGATTTTCGAGTGCACCCCCACATGGTTCAATTTCCCAGCCACCGTCTGAGACAAGCATGATTTTACCCCCATTTCATAGAAGAAACTGTGGCCCAGAGAATTGGAGACACTTGCCTAGGGTCACAGAACAAACGCTCTAAATTTAGTCCTGAGGCTAATGAAGGGTTCAAGGGTACAGAAGGGGGCCACACTCCCCAGGAGCCCAGATCTTCATGTCCAGGGCTCCATTCTAACCCCAAGGAGCCGCTCTGCAGCCCGTGCCCCTTAGACCCTCACACCCCAGGTGTCCAGCTCTCCGGCTCTGCCACTCAGGGCCCTCCCTCATCGGGACCCCAAGTTACCCTTCCGTTCAGTGACATTTATCTTCCATTAACTTGCATAGTGTTTTTCACAACTTCTCTTTCTAGTTATAGACTGTAAATCTTCTCTTTGCTGAGTCTTGTAGCTGACTATTTTTCATTATATTTGTAGGGCTCAGGGAAAAAAAAAAAGGCAATCCTTTTATTTGAGAATCCTGACATTTATTAGCATAATAAAACTCTCAAGATGAAATTGCAGTTTTCCAGACAGTAATTTCATTTGCAGGACAACTTACAAGGAATTTATTTTAAGGCCAGGTAAAACCTAAAATATATGAGATATGCAGAAAGTGCAGGCCCAAAATAAAATGAAATAAATGTGTTGGGCATAGAAACCTCAGCTGTTGTCTCTCACATATTAATTAGGGGTGATAGGAACAACAGCTCAGGGGTTCAGGGTCTCAGCCCAGCCTGCTTGGCTCTCAGAGCTGCTGCTAGTGCTTGGAGTAAGAAGTTTCTTCCAACACCTTGAAAATCATCACACCATATTTCCCTGCCACATCACTGCTAATCCCAAAATAATTGTTGCTGCTCCTGTGGTTGTTGCCAGCAATGCCTCTCATTTAGACAGAGCTTTCATATTGCTCATTTAAGTGACCCACCAAAAAAAAAAAAAAAAAAAAACTAGTGGCAGACACACAGAAATTCCTCTTCTCAGGTAGACTGAGCCTTCACAAGGTTGAACGTCTTGAACAAAGTCACATAGTTTGTAAGTAGCACGGCCAAAACTAAAATTTGGTTCCTCTGAGGCTACTAGAATGGAAGACTATTACAAGAAAATCTAACCATAATCAATGAAGGTTTTAAAGCATCTTAGCATTCAAGAAGCAGGTTTCCACCTTCTCTTTTATTAATTCGGGGGCCCTGGGAGAGAGCAAGACAGAAGCCAGGTTGCGAGGCTGACATTATCAAACACATTTGTATGATAGGTCCTTACCCTGGCTTCCCTCAAAGGCAGAGCCTGCAGCAAATGCCTATATGCTGCCACTTAATTCAGGGGTGGGCAGCCCAGAGGAGCGGGAGAAGGAGGCAGAGGAGGAGGAGGGACAGACGGGAGGGGTCGGACCTCATCTGGCCACTCCTTGGTTTCATCCTGACGAGTTGCTCCATCTTGCAGGACTGTCTTCTCAGAGGTCGTCGGAAGAACTGCCTGTCCGAACAGCCCCCCAGCGGGAGGAAGGGGAAGAAGTAATCTACCAGCTGCTGTCTCCCATTGATGTGCAGGTTCGCTGCACATGCAGAGTTAACTGCCCTGCTCTTGATGGGTGCACGGTGTCTTCAGCATCTGCAGCAATAGGAGATGAGGGGTCCAAAGCACCACATGGGCAAGTGGCATTGGCTCTTCTCACATCAAGCTGATGGACCCCGTAAGGAAGAACAGAGTCCAGGCAGAACGCCTTGCAGTGGTAGTGACCAGGGTGAAGCAAGTGGCCAAGGATGTGAAGAGTAAGGGAAGCAGGAAGTGAAGGAGAGCATAAGTGGTGTGGGACATGACTATCAAGTAAGGTATGCCCATCCACTGACAAGGATCAGAGCCCATCCATGCTTTCACTCCCACCAATATGATGCTGCCAACATTAAAATACTAGTAAGTCCAGGGTGGGGAGTTGAACACAAGTCTGCTTGATTCCACTATAATATTCCCACCATAACATGCTGTCTCTGGTTGTCCATAAACGTGAGAACCTGAGTATGCACGAAGACACTATCCCTGAGAGTTACTGATGAGTCACTGGAAGAATCTCATTGATATGAAAACCATACTCAGATTAAGTGAATACAAGGATCAGACTCAAAATGACCAAGAAGGCAGAAGTAATCATTTGGGTAACATACATCAAGAGGGTCAAATCCTAGAGAGCAAAGGCTTTCTTGAATTTATAATTCATCCCAGGTTTTGGGCACATCTATGGGAATAAACAAAACCACTGACTCAATATTGCGAAACCAGGGTCAAGATATGCTTCCAAATATTATGCAGCCATCAAAAGGAATGAGATCTTGCCATTTGCAACGACGTGGATGGAACTGGAGGGTGTTATGCTGAGTGAAATAAGTCAATCAGAGAAAGACATGTATCATATGACCTCACGGATATGAGGAATTCTTAATCTCAGGAAACAAACTGAGGGTTGCTGGAGTGGTGGGGGGTGGGAGGGATGGGGTGGCTGGGTGATAGACATTGGGGACGGTATGTGCTATGGTGAGCACTGTGAATTGTACAAGACTGATTAATCACGGATCTGTACTTCTGAAACAAATAATGCAATATATGTTAAGAAAAAAAAAGAAGAAGAAGATAGCAGGAGGGGAAGAATGAAGGGGAGTAAGTCGGAGGGGGAGACGAACCATGAGAGACAATGGACTCTGAAAAACAAACTGAGGGTTCTAGAGGGGAGGGGGAGGGGGGATGGGTTAGCCTGGTGATGGGTATTAAAGAGGGCACATTCTGCATGGAGCACTGGGTGTTATGCACAAACAATGAATCATGGAACACTACATCAAAAACTAATGATGTCATATATGGTGATTAACATAACAATAAAAAATTATTTAAAAAAAAAGATATGCTTCCAAGACCAAGGATGGGTGGCAGAAGAAGAGGCAAATAAAGAAAGCAGGGCAGTATCAGCCACCTATTCTGGAACCTGGGTCTCAGAAGCCTTAGGTAATTATTCCAATGATAAAATCAATGAGGGCAATAATGTACATCATTAAAGATGCAGCATCTATATTTTCCATATAAATCCTTTGCAGTATTTCTTCTATACTCTCCATGACTTTATAGACAGAAAAGGTAGGAAATAACTTACTAGAAAACATTGCTGATTAGTGTTTCAAGACATTCAGAAGAATTGCATTCATTCAACAAACATTTATTAAATGTCTACCATGGGTTAAATTCAGAGTTCGGCCCTGGAATTATTTTGGATTATTAAAACATGACCCAGGTGCTCTAGGGGCTCAGCTTAGGGTGGCCAAGGAAAATAGGCTTCATGAAGTCATAACTAAGCTCTTCATGAAAGAATTGCATCAGCTATTAGCAATTTCTGTCCTGGGCATTGGGACGGGGACTAATAGCACATATATTTCATATCCCTTGAGACATACTAATCTACTGAATCCTCTGGATGGTGGTGGATCTTCCAGAAGGGCCATAAGGATTTGAGCTGGGAAGTTCTTAAGTTGAGTTCAAAAAATGGATGCCCAAAGAAGCCCAACTGATAAGGGGGGCGGGGGGAATCATTCAAACAACAGATGGTAGTCTGGTGGGCTGTTCCTCTGTCCACAGGGTTCCTGCAGCAGCTCTCCCCCTGAAACAGTGATAATTTCCTCCTAAAAGGAAAAACAAAAAGGAAGAATTACTTATAACCAAGCAAGGGAAATAAACATCTACCAGAGAGAGGCCAGTTCAAGATAGAAAGTCTATGAATATGTATCTGCCTCCTCCTCACTCAAATTTATAGAAATGACAGAAAAAAATCTGCTTTTAAAAAAGAAATAGAGCCATATTGGGAAAACTGAAATAAATCCAATACGGGAAAATAAGAAGGAAGGCCATCAACAAAGCCAAATGTTAAAGAATACTCGAAAACCAAAAGACCTACAGGGTGAGATTGTCAGAGGAGTGAAGGTGAGGCAGGGGCTGGAGCAAGTATCAGAGGGACAGGCTGGGGAGCCCTAGACAGGAGAGGTCTTTGCCTCGGGCAGATGGGAAGTGAGGAGAGGCACTGCCCTTCGTTGGGAGGCCAAAGAGTCCACAAAAGCTCAGACATTCCCTTGCCCAAAAGATGAGCTGTCTTTTGGGCTGTCAACTCCAACCCTTACAGCATGGAGAGAATGGATTCAGGAAACAGGGACTGTATCCATTGATGGATAAACAGGAAATTCCAAGTTCAGACACCACCTCATAACCCAAAATGTATACATACTTAAGGAAAATCATACCCATAAAAGAAAGATGGCAACTCAACAACAGAACTGACCCTCAAGAAAATATCAAGTTTATAAAACAAACTGAAAGAGCTTTTCAGGGATGGGTATTCATCTCCTCAGTGGAATAAGAAGATAAATCATTCATGAAATAAGAATGGGCTATTATTTATGGGGCATCTGGGTGGTGCAGCCCATTAAGCATCGGACTCTTGGTTTCGGCTCAGGTCATGATCTCAGGATTGTGAGATTGAGCCCCGCGTCAGGCTCCACACTCAGCATGGACTCTGCTTGGGATTCTCTCCCTCTCCCTCTGCACCCCCCAACTCGTGCTCTCTCTCTCTCTCTCTCTCTCTCTCGCCAAAATAAATAAATAAATCTTTTAAAAAATGGGCTATTTTTTTTAGTTAAAGAACCTGCAAATGAAAAGAGTGCCCATTAAATAAAAATAAAAATTTCCCAAAAGAAGACCTGAGAAGCAGAATAGACATAACTAAAGCTCAATTTAATTGCTGGAAGAACTGACAAGTCAGTAGGAAAGGAGACATCTAAGTAGAAAATGGACAAAGGACAGGAACGAACAATCCACAGAAGAAATCCAAGTGGCCATTAAACATATGAAAAGATCCTCTGTGTCAGTAGTAATTGGAGAAATACAAGCTAAACAACAGTGAGGTAGAGCATCTGCCCATCTGATGGGAAAAAATTAAAATGACTGATAATCCCCAGTGTTGGCAACAGTGTGGGGAAACAGCCTCATCCAGTTTTGGCAGAAGCACAAATTGGCGCTATGTTTTTGAAGGGCAATCTGGCAGATCTTTTCAAATTAAAATGTGCATCATCTTCTATCCGGCGATTCCAGTACGATGGATCCATCCTAGAGAAATACTTGCACCTGTGCCCAGAGGGACATAGACAAGCATAGCTCTGCGGCCCCGTTTGTGATCATGGAAACCTGGAAGCTATGTAAGTGGCCATCACGAAAAACCATGGGGCACGTGTACGGATGTGGTTGGTACATGTACTCAATACAAGCATTTCAGTAACAGCCAACGTTCTGATAACTTACAAATGTTGGCTGTACTGTTTCAGCACTCTACACAGTGATATCTCAACGAAACCTCCCAGGGACCCTAAGGAGGTGAGTGCTATTTTGAAACCCATCTTACGGAGGAGAAAACTAAAGCACAAAAATTTCAGTAGTTTGCCCAAAGTCACTCACAGTAATGAAGTTGGGATTGAAAATTTAGCAGCCCGCTTCCAGCGACCATGCTTTGAAAAAATACACCATATGCTATATTGATCCTGCTAAAAAATCAAATTGCTGAGCTATTGGTAAAGAAGTGTCCGGTTTAATCTCACCCCACTATCCTTATTTTTTAGAATTTCCCTGGCTAAACTGGTGTATTTCAGTTTTTTCTGGAAAATCCTACCTTTTTTTTTTTTAATCTCCATCCTATTGGTATACTTGTTGGGTAGAGAACTGCATTAAATTTATAATTAGAAAAAAAAAGAATTGTCTGGTTTATGTGGAAAATAACAAAACTATGTACTTCCTTACGTACATAAATTTCTGTGTTAATGCCCGGGAAATACTTGGATAGGTACATGGCAAACTAATACTTTAAGGTGGAGGATGGAAATGGAGATTTGAAATGGACAAGGCATTCACCTTATATTGTATTTGATTATTCTTAGAACGTAATCACAAATTAATTGTGTAATTAAAACTTTAATTTATACACGCTGACCACCAGATCTCCACATGGGCATAGATGAACCCCCTCTTTAGTGTAAGAAACTACATTGGAAGTCTCCAACCCTAGATCTGGGAGAGAATAAAGACCTTCAAAGACATCTGTTCTAACCTTCCAACGCAGGAACCATAGCATAGCATATCTGAGAGATGGACTTTTTTCCTGGGTTTGAACACTTCCTGGGACAAGCAGCTCATCACTGCTCAAAGCAGCTTATAGTGGACAGGGAAACCAAACATCATGGTAGAGAGGAAAAAGCACAATCTTTAGAGGCAGACGGCCTGAGGATTAACTCTCGGACCTCGTGGTGCCAGCCATGAAAACTTAGGGAAGCTATTCAAGCTCCCTGGCTTTGGTTTCCTGATCTGTGAAATGGGACTAGTCTACCTCCCTCACGGAGCTATCACGAAGAGGAAGCGAGAAAATGGATGGAGAGCGCTCGGCATAATGCCTGACACAGAGAAGGTGCCAATAACCACACATGCCCTCCCTTTCTCTTTCCTAGAGTTGTTAGAAAGCTCTTCCCAACACGGGTAGAAAACTGCCCTGAACCTGGTTAGTCCAGTTTTCCAGGAGTCCTGTCCACCCAGAGTCTAGGTATTTGTAAATAGGTAATTTTCTATGTGCTTTACTTAGAAGGTCAAGTCAAGAGCTGTCCCTAGGGCCTGGGGGACATCCATGAAGAAAAAACAAAACCAATCCAAGAGTTCCTACTACAGCAAAAACCCGGTGAGATGTGAGTCTGTGAACCTTGCTACAGCTGCAAAGCTCAGGTAGATGGGGAGCGACCATGACTCTGTCTCTCGGAATCCCTCCCCCACCCTTGTGGCTCACCAAGTTCCACCTTTGGCTTTCTCCCAGTTACTACTGTGCTGACAGTCACATTAACACAAAAGTTGCTTCTTTCTGCATATATTGTTTGGAAGGCAACATCTTTCCTCATGAGAGGTCTACAGTAGGGGGACAAATAACAGAGAGTTCCGGAAAACAAGAACTTCCACACCACTTCACGGGGTGCTGTAACGGACATTGCCTCATTTAACAGTCATGGGATCTGAACGATTATTTACATCCATTTGCCTGGTTAGGATGGTAAAGTTCAGTGAGACTAAGGAACCTGCCCAAAGTCACACACGTACCACACACGTACATATCCTTGTAGTTGGAACAAGAGGCGTGGTAACTCTACTAGAAAAGCTTCTCAAGGCACAGGGTTGACAGCTAGGCTTCAGCCAATGCTACAAAGCTGCCAGAGGCCTGGCTAGAACGTCCTCAAGCAGGACATCCTGGGGATGTGTTGCAGGTCAGCTGCGGGCTTGGACAGAAGGTGCCATCAACTAGTCCCAAGGTGTTTACCATGGGGAGAACTCAGATACTTGAGGTGAGGAGAGGCTTAGGGACCAGGGCTGGAGGGGCCTGCATTAGTCAGAGGGTAAGCCAGAGAGAAGAACAGCAGGCCCCAGGGCCTGTCTAGACCATCTCTGCTCTCCTCCACCACGATGTCCCATACCCCTCTGATCCTGCGGACCTCCTGGGGCTGCCTGCTCGCTCTCCACCCCATCTCTTAGAATACCCGCAGCCTGGTGCTCCTGCACTTCAAGCTTCTCCCAGTCCTCTCTCTTGACCAGCAGCCCTGTGAAGGATACCTTGTGGAAATCAATGAGATCGGTGAGTGTTGCGTGGCGATTGGGGTCCACTCCCAGGAAGCTGTAGAAGTCCCCAGAGGCGTCCACAAGAAAGTGCTTGAACCCTTTCTGCAGGCGATAGGAGAGGGTGTAGCCCCAGATTTTCTGACTGACCCGGACCAAAAATGCTCCCTCCGTCATGTTCTCGAGGAGATCTTCTGCATCTTCTCGGCTAATAATTCCTGGTTTAAAAAAGAAAAAAAATAAGTCCGTAGGTTCAGCAAATCTTTCCCCTGCCACTCTCCCTGACACACCCCTGCCCCTCATCCTTCTTCCATGGTGTCAGGAAAGAGGGGGCCTCAGAAGCTGTCCAGCACTTACTTACCTCATTCCGCCCAGAGCAACCAGCTGTGAGCCTGGGGGCAGAGTTTCTACCAGGACCTGAGTTTAGCACGCTTTCCTCCAAATTAAGCCACACTAATTTGGATTAATTGGGTAAGCAAAGAATTAGCAATGAGCCAGAATTAGAGCATCTATCGATTACAAATACAAGTCAGCAAGCACTGCCCCATGGAGAGCCTTAAGAGTCCTGCTTTAATGACAACAGCAGAGTGATTCACGATTACTACCCCAGTTATCTTGCTGGTACCCATGAATGAGCACCTGAAAACAGTAGGTCCTCTTAAGAAGTGAAAAGACTTCCTCCGCCCACCTGCGGGCATTGGGAAACCAGCTCCAAGGACAAAATTTTCTCAGGTTCTGCAGTCCTTCACGAGGATGTGGTTTCACCACAGTATGGAGGTCAGGTCCAGCCCTGAAGTTACTGATTACTTGTCAGTGGCAATCCCCAGAAGGGCTTTTTGGGAGCTGCTGTCCTCTGGATAGAGCATAGGAAGCCATGTGTCAGGGGACCAGCCTTGCAGGGTGGGGCAGTGGGAAGAGGGAGGGAGCCAGAAGGCCTAGGTGACCTGCTCAACCTGCCTTCCTCTGGGCTCCGTGATGTTCAGCCAACTCCTCGACTTTTCCAATGTCCTCTGACATTTAAGTGAGCATCTTAATCCATCTACCTCAGGGGCACATTACGACTTTCAAGTCAGCTAAAGAGTTTGAAAGCATTTCATAAACTGAGAAACACTGTGGAAATGTTGGCTACTGTTATCATCGTATTTGGGGAGAGAGGAGAAACACATGGTCCTTTTCACACACCCACTTGGTTACCCTGTGCATACACTCCGTGGGATCACTTACTGACAGTCACGTAGCAAAGGAGTAGAAGGTAGCCAGGCTGTTGGTCCCTGTGACCCTGAGAGGCACTGCACACTTGTGACCTCTCCCCTGCTGCACCCTGGTGCCTTTCTCGAGCTTTCCTGTAGGTACTCCCTGCTCCCCCCCAAACCCCTGCCATTGCTCTCCTATTTATAGGAGGTGTGGCAGGACTTTCCTTGTGCCCAAAGCAGAGGACATAGAGGCTACCACACTGTCACATGTCCCCCTTTTAAAGACAGCCAACACAATTGGGGGTCACTTCCGTCCTCCTTGCCCAGAACTTATCAAGAGGCCGTCAAGTGAGCCACCCTCTCCGCAGCCAGGCTATGTAAGCAGGAAACTAGGGAGAGGGGAAGGGGAAGGAAGTGGGGAGCCCTTCTACCACAGGACACCTGAAGAATCGCGCACAATTCCCACGTAGGCAGGAGGAAGCACCCGAGGGCTGCCCCGGGGAGGATGTTAGTGTCTTCAGCCAGGGAAGCAGTGACAGCCAAAGGAGGACCAAAATGGCCACCTGGAATCTGTCAGAAGACTCAGCACCGTCCCTCACCCGCCTCCCTGCCCCAGTGCCAGAAGACCTAGACCCTAAAGGTGCCTGGGGCAGGGAGAGTAAGAGGAGACAGAGTAGAGCCAAGGGCCAGGAGGAAAAAGGACCAGAAAATGCCACCCCCATCTCCACTCTGCCCACCTCAAGCCAAAGCCCAGACCAAACTGAAAATCGGGGAGGAGAGAATTGTTGCATTGGGCAGGAGCCTGAACAGTCAAACTTGAATAGGACTCGACTTTTTAATATCTGAAAGCGACCAGTAACACCAAAAGGACAATGTCATGTGTCTGCCATCTAGAACCTTTGAATAGCCTCCCCGGACTCTGGCAGACTCCAGGCTCCGGGAACGACAGACACTGGGCTCTGGGACCCCACCCACCCACCTCTCTAGGCTCATTCAGTCACTCACCTTGTGCACCATTGCTGGCTCCTTCCCACAAGCCCTCCTTGTGCAGAAGCTTCATGCCCGCCCCCAGCCCCCTCTGTCCCAGCTGACCCCGAATCCCCCTCTTCTCTCCTGGGAAGCCCATGCTGCTGGTCACCTACACTCTACCTTTGTGCCACTGAGAAACAGATGTCCCTCTGAGTGGTGGACTTTGAAAAGGGTGCCTCTCTGGGCCAAAATGGCCAAGCTCACATTTCCACATTTCAACCCCTCCTCCCCACAACCAGCCCCCTTGGCAGGGTCCCTTTATTCAGTGTGCAACCTGCTCCATCCTGTCAGGAAATCATCGCTATCCCAGGAGGCTGCATGGGATATCCACCTGTGAGCTTTCATAACACCTGCCCAGATGCCACAGTGTATTAGTGAACAGGCTGTGAAGGGCTCGAGGATAAAGCTTGTGGCAACCATGGGAGCGCGCTGCTCGGGCCTCCCTCAAGAGAGACCCTGCTGCAAGGAACAGTGTCCAGAGCTGACAGCCCCCAGCTGCTGCTCAGGATCCACCAATGAAGCATGTTCTGCCCCAGCTGCTTCTGGTACAGAGGGTACAGGACCCAGTGCCCCGGACTCAGAACACAGAGGGTTCTATGACTGAGCACGAGGCTACAGAAGCTGCCATTCTGCCCGGTGTGGGACTCCTCTAGTGAGCAGTCACTGCTCAGGGCTTCCCATCAGCCGGAGCAAGGCTCTCCCTGAGCTGTGCTCCAGTAGCAGGCTCTTCCTCCCAATGACCCTTCCTTCCCATCCTCCCTTCAGGGGTGTCAGGCCTGCACCTCATCTGAAGACTCTCCCCACCTTCTCCTGCTCCCTCTCCCCTTTACCCTTCATGGGCATTTCTTCCAGGAAATCGCTTGTACTTCTGCTTCCTGGAAGACCCAAACTGACACTGAATGCTGACCTTTGTGCCCCAAGCATCTGGCCTGTTGGGGGGCTTGCTTGGAGCAGTAATCAAGAGCATAGACTAAAATCACAGCTCAGGTGGGGCAGCTAGGTGGCGCAGTCAGTTAAGCATCTGCCTTCAGCTCAGGTCATGATCTCAGGGTCCTGGGATCGAGCCTCACATCGGGCTCCTTGCTCAGTGGGGAGTCTGCTTCTCCCTCTACCTCTGCCCCCCCCCGTTCACGCTCTCTCTTGCTTTCTCTCTCTCTCAAATAAATAAAATCTTTTAAAAAATAAAAATAAAATCACAGCTCAGGGATTCATTCAATAGGTGACCTTGGGCAGGTTACTTAAGCCTCTCTGAAACCCAGGGCAGTGTCCTCATCTATTAAGTGGTACCATTACTCCTACGTACGTCAAAAGGTTGTTTGAGCCTATCTTAAATTAATGTGTAAGCGTGCTCGCCACAGTGCCTGAGAACACAACACTTATCTAATACACATAACTAGTTTGTCTTGGCTACACCAAGCGTATCACTCCTGTGTCAGGGTTGGATGTCACTTCGTCCTGAGAACAGCAATGGTCATAGCACTGCCAGACTGTGCTGCCCACACCCACGCACCCAATCCCTCCAGACAGAGGCTGTAGCGGGTGACTTCTGATGGGGACTGCTTGGGTCCCTGGGCCCCAACCTGCACCATCCCTGGCAGACTCTCCAGGTGTCTGGGATAATAAACATGTGTGACCTCTGGCCCCACTCTTTGATACTTACATAGAAGTCAACAGTATAATTTGGCCCAAGACCAAAAGTAATGCAGCCTCATAGTTCAGGATGGCATAGACCATTCCATAGAAAACCTGACCCCCAGGAGAATTAGTTGGTGGCTGGGAGGCCTGTAGGACACCTACAAGGAGAAGCTGTTACACTTTTCTGCCCATTCATACTCTGTGCTCGTCTCCCTCTCTCTCCCTGGATCGCCTCTAAGCCAAGTGTACTGGGAACTAAGCACTAATCATACCCTATCCCATCCCACCTCTGCCCCTTCTCAACACTCTACGACTTCTTGGCTAAGGAAAGAAGGGAAGGCCTCACCTCACCGCTTCTGACTGTGGAGCAAGCACACTGCTCCCCAGGGATCATGGAAACTTTCTGCGTCTGCCAATGACCAGGGCTTGCTGAGGGATGCGGCCTTACCACACAATGCTCCAGGGTAGCTGTTCTGGAATGATGACTGGAGAATGCAACTGTAGATCCCTTTTGAGCCAATTCTCACCTGCCAACATTGGGAAATGTAGCTTTTCCTGCAATTTCTCTCCTTCCTCCCTTCAATAACTGTGTTAAGCACTCTAGGAGCCAGGCCCCATGCTGCATACCTGGGAATCAGCACTGAATGAAAAACAGTTCCTGCCTTCCAGAAGCTTTGACTCTGGACAGAAATAAAGATCGACAGGGTTTGTTTGTTTTGTTTTGTTTTGTTTTTTTTAAGAAAAGGCTCACTGTAACCAGTGGTGATCAAGGCCCCAGGTGCTGCAGGAGGCACCCCACCCAGCTCTGGTGCTAAGGGTGGAAGTGACAGCTAGACTGAGACCAGAAAGGTGAAAACAGAGGCGCGAGGCAAGAACTTGTTTGCAAAAGAGATTAGGACGTGGTTCTTTGTGGCCTGAGGGAGTGCCAGAGTAGGAGCCCAGGAACAGCAATGGTGAGATACGGAGAGGTCGGCAGGAGCCAAGCCCCCAAGAGCTCTCCATACCATCAGAAGGATCCTGGACTTAATGATCCCTAAACAGAGAAGAACGTGAGAATGTTCAAGGATGAAAAGATGGCTCCAGGGGGTATGAACTAGACAGAGAAGAACGTGAGAATGTCCAAGGATGAAAAGACGGCTCCAGGGGGTATGAACTAGAGGCACAAAAGCCAGGGATCTCAATGCAGTTAGGGCTGTTAGGCAGTTAGGTCTTCATCATGTAGGGATTGCTTCATAGCTACATTTCCACAGTTGTAGCGCTGGACTTCAGCTCCCGGACTGAGTGTCTGCCAGAGATGGCTTCTATGTTGAGGCAGGGGTGCAAAAGGACACACGGGGGGGGGGGTTACCTAAGAAGCCCCC